TCGCTCCCTCTCTTCAAATCCCACCCGAGAACGTACCTCGTTGATGGTGCCTTCAGTCCCCCACCCCCTCTCCCAGCTCAGGATACCATTCCGTCTCTATCAAGAGCTTTGCGGTGTTTAATAAAAATAACACCTTGCAAATCGATTCTGCGTCTTATCGGTTGAAACCTCTCGAAGCACCTCACGGGCAGTTGAGTGTAGTTTGACTTTCTGACGACAATAGTTCTCGCATTTGACACAGCGCCTCATCACGTCTTCGAGACGTCTCAAAAGAGCTTCGCGGGATATGCCGTGAAGTGAATCGACTGTGTATTTTGTCCCGCACTGAGTGAGTGAATGAGCGATTTTATTTGGGGAGGGGGTGGGGGGGCAATTGTTGCCCGGGACACTGGGAGAGAGAGAAAAACTCGCTTCTCTTTTTGAGTAGTGCGATGGGATCTTTAACGTCCCGAACAGGCAGACCTGGGTCTAACATCTCATCCAAAGGACTGACAACACAACACAAACACCAACTACACTGGAGCATCAGCCCAGACTACATAAGATCAGCGTAGGGGCTCAAACCTGACTTGGAAACAAGAGTGTTACCAACTGAGCCTGGCTGATAATAAATAATACTAATCCCTGCATTCGATATAGCGCCTTATCCCGTCTTCGAGACGTCTCAAAAGTTCTTCACAGGACACGCGGTAAAGCGGAGTGACAGTGTGTTTTGTGGGCGAAAACGCGGCAGCCAATTGAGCGCAGTAGCGTCCCCACAAGCAACCGTGGGTTGAGTGACCAAATTATTTACTTGGATGGGATTATTACCCCCCCCCCCCACCCCGGCAAAGCAATCCATCAATCAACTAACAACCGGGTTCCGACTTGCTTCCAGGTAAACAGAGGTTTGTGGAGGCAGGAAACTTGCCGAAGGTTTCGCCCCGTCCCGCCCGGGATATCGAACGCGGGTCCTCTCGCTTGCGAGGCGAGCGTTCTCACCACTACGCTTCCGAGACTCCACGAATGGACCCGTCTGTGGTTTCGGGATAGACCCGTGAGTTCAGTGCGAGTGCCTCGGTAGGGGAGCCGGGCCGGGCCGAGCGGCTGTACTGTAATTCCTCGCGCGGGAAAAACAACAAGTGGAGGGATAGACGCAACAGGAAAAATGAGCGAGTTTGGAAGCCGCCGACTGCCTGGCGCACAGCTGCTGCCGTGCCGTGCCGTGCCGGGCCGGGCCAGGGGAGGGTAAGCAGCTCGACCACGGGTTGCGAGAGGAACAGGCGGTCTCACTGAAGTCACCGCAAATTGGACTCGAAACGGGAAGCCAGACATTGCCCCCCGTGGCTTTAACCGTAACCTCAGCCTCTGGTACCGCAGCCGAGAGGCTCACTCCGAGCGAGGGACGGAGGGAGCGAGGGAGGGAGGGAGGGAGGGAGAGCAAGTGTGTTTTTGTTTTGTTCCATGGAAAAACATATTTTCTCAAAAGACAGGCAAACCCAGTGATACGCAGACAGACAGAGACAGACAGACACACACACACAGTCTCACGCGCACAGAGTTGGCATTTGTCAAATCAGATTCTTGGTACAACTAAAATACGTTGTGATTTATGATTTTACCCCCAAGCGTCTCCGGTACCAATAGCAATCCTTGCCCCCCCCCACCCCCCCACCCCCGGTTTGTCGACCGCTTGCGTTTACGTCGCTGAGAGATTAGAATAATAAGCCTCGCGTTGAATATAGCGCTTTATCGCATCGTCCACCCGTCTCAAAGCGCCTCACTGGCACGTACTGTAAAACGTAGTGACTGTGTATTTTTAAGGGCGCAACACGGCTGCCAATATCACTATTGTTCGGTCAGGATGTCAGTGGAAACAGGACAGGTAATTGGAGTTGAGGTACAGATCAGCCGTGATCTAATAGATCGGCGGGAACCGGCTCGAGGGGCTGAATGTCCTCCTCCTGTTTCGATGTTTCTACTTGCAGCTGCGACCCCAAAAACAGCAGTCGATTGAGTGACCAATTTTTTTCTTTATGGGTTGGGGGGGAAGAGGGGAATTATTACCCCCGGAAAGCGATCTGCCAGTTGACTAACAACCCACTTACTGCTCGGTAAAGAGACGTGCGCGCGTGCGCGTGTGCGCGGGCGGAGTAAGGAAACTTGCCCCAGGTTCCGCCGTACCCGGTGATCGAACCCTGAGTCCTCTGACTCGCGCGGCGAGCGCTCTGACCACGAGGCTACGGGACTCCGCGCTGACGGCCCGACGTGAAAGGCGTTGCATCAATTTCGTGCGAGAAATGAAACGGGAAGTGACCGAAACAGAGCAGCGAGCGGAGTTTAATGTAAAACCGTAGTGTAACGAGACAAGCATATCAGCGGGCCGGTCGTTAACCCCCCGGGGGAAAAAAACAGCCATTAAAGACCCCCAAATGTCACATAACATAACCCCCCACCCCAACAATATCAGCAAGCAATTGCTGTGGATAATTGTGTAGCGACTCTGTATTTTGGAGGCAAACGCGACAGCTATTTTATGTATTGACATGAATGAGTAATTCGTTAGGGAAAGGGGTGGAGTTGGGGGGGGAAAATGGGGCGAATTGGTGACCAGGATACCGGGAGAGAGAAAACTCCCTTCTCTTTTCCCGACAGCACCTCAGGAGGTCTTTAACGTCCACCTGAACAGGGCACGGAGTGGGGGGTGAGGGATGGGGGGTGGGTGGGGAGTGAGGTTTAACGTCTCGTCTGAAGGAAGGGAACTCCAACCTCAATCTCCTGACTCAAAGGAAGGGACGCGAGTGATCGGACCGATGGGGCTGACAATTTTATCAGATTGGCCCCCGGAAAGCGATCCGCCAATCGCCGAACGACCGGCTTCCTACCTACTGCTCGGGCGGGTCAGGAAACCTGCCCGAGGTTTCGCCCTGACCCGCCCGGGGATGGAACCGCTCGCTAACCACCGCGCAACGGGACTCCAAATGCGCGAAACATTTGATTTGACACCCTATCGCCCCACCACCCGCCCTCGCCCGGCTCCACTGACCACCCCGTCCCCCCCCCCCGTCCCCCCAGAGGATAGAGTTCAAAATCCACGTCCTTCGAAAGTAACGTGACGGCGGGTGGGGGGGCGATAACCGTTGGGAGGTTAAACCGGCTGAAGCCGCACAGCTTGCCATCGAGTCACGCCAGCCACGGCCACTCTAACCGTTAAGGGGGTTTGGTTGACAAACAGTCAACACGATCGCCACGCGGCAGCCGGGCACGTAAGTGTCCCTGCACGCCCAGCACTGGCCACTGGGAGGCGCTCTGTCCTCATCAACCGGAGCCTCACCTCCACTCGTGTGGGCGAAAGGCCAGTTGGAAGCGCTGGAAGCGCTGGCCTCCCCCGACCCAGTTATTGCACAATTCCATTAGATTATAAAGCACATCGTTGAATGTCTTCAGTCGAAAGGTAAGAACACTTGAAAACAAAAAACATTTGCGGGGCTATGGGGTAAGAGCGGGGGGAGTGGGGACTGGTTGGGGTAAGAGCGGGGGAGTGGGGACTAGTTGGGGTAGAGGCGGGGGAGTGGGGACTAGTTGGGGTAAGAGCGGGGGAGTGGGGACTGGTTGGGGTAAGAGCGGGAGAGTGGGGACTAGTTGGGGTAAGAGCGGGGGAGTGGGGACTAGTTGGGGTAAGAGCGGGGAGTGGGGACTGGTTGGGGTAAGAGCGGGGGGAGTGGGGACTAGTTGGTAGCCCTTTCAGAGCCGGCACAGGCACATTGGGCCGAATGGCCTCCTTCTGCGCTGTAACCCGTCTGCTCCAAATCCAGGTCCAAATCCCGACTGTCCAGCGCCTCGGGACGTCCCTCCTGACGTGAAAGGATCTGCGGAGGTGTCATTTGTGGGGGTTGAAATGTTCTATGAATAACCGTAGTCCCCAACGAGGTTTAGCTGTGGGTGAGAGGTGGCGCACAAAGTGTGGGCGGTGTGTATAACAGTCTCGGTGTACGCGTGCGGGCGCGCGTATCTGCGCGTGCGTGCGTGCGTGCGCGCGCGTGCGTTTGGCGGTGTGGACAGCCTACCCCACACCTCCTGAGTCCACCATCAACAATATTGATCATCGCCGTCATCAGAATAATAATAATAATCCTCGCATTTGACACGACCTCAGCGAGCGAGTAGCAAACGTGACGGAACGGGCTCCCGAGCGAGACAGGCGGTGGAGGCGGAAAACGGCATCGGCACGAGGACAAACGGGACCGGTTTCTGCCGGAAAATAATATCGGGGGACACGGGATGTGGTTTGGGGCGCGACACCTCGAGCGACCGACAGCTGAAGTAATCCTACATTCATCACGTCATGTTCCCCCCCGGACCCCACCGCCCTTCATCACTCGCTCTCCCTCTCTCTTCGGCTCTCATTTCCCCCCACCCCGCTTCTCTCTCTCCCCCCCCCCCACCTCTCTCGCCCTCTCCCCCCCCTCTCTCTCTTCAGCCCACGTATATAAATTACAATTCCCACCCCTCCGCAAAAGTGTACGACGCGGGCTTCGAAGTCCGTGTCAGGATTTCGCCCCCAAAGAGTCTCAACGATCGAATGCCGACCGCAGAATCCTCCGGCCGGCAGCTTACGAGTTTCTCTCTCTCTCTCTCTCTCTCTCTCTCTCCCCCCCACACATATTCGCCGCCCAAACATATCTTCACACGGTGACAGAGCGACTCTGTGACTGTCTCTCCGGCTCAAACACAAGACACAAAGGCCTCATTGTTGTCAGTGTTGGGCAATACGTTGGCACAAAAGTGTAGGCGCCAAACCTCTTGTCATCTCTCTCGCTCTCCCTCCCCCCTCCTCTCTCTCTTCTCTCCCCCCCTTCTTCTCTCCCCCCTCTCTCTCTCCCCCTCTTCTCTCCCCCCCCTCCTCTCCCCCCCTCCTCTCTCTCCCCCACTCCAAACTTTCTCCACTCTCTATCCCCCCCCCATTGCGCTCTCCCCACCTCTCTCCCCACCCTCTCTCTTTTGCTGCCCCCCCGTCTCTCTTTCTCTCTCTCTCTCTCTCCCCCCGCCATCTCCTCTACAGTAGTTTCCGGACTCTCCTGGTGTTGGTGTTGATTCGGGCCGTGGCTCGGTCAGTGGAGATTCCTATCACGTCCAGGGTCTCGTCCTGACGTTCCAGCTCTGTCTCCGTGTCCAGGGCCAGACTTTTCAGCTTCCCGAGGATCTGAAAGCGAGACCCGGAGAGATGCTCAGCTCGTTCCCACGGCAACGGGTCCCCAGCCCATCCCTAGCGCAACCGTCCCATCCCGTCCCCACGGCAGTGGGGTTTGACAAGGGCAAGGACTGGGGTAATGGGATAACGGAGGTACGGAGTTTAGTCCGCGGCGGAGTTTTGAAGGGGAGACCGGCGAGGAGGGCGTTCGAGTCGTCGAGGCGGCAAAGGCGTGGACGAGTGTTTCAGCAGCTTTTAGAGTGAGATACGGAGGGAGGTGGGCAACGTGGAGGAAAATGGTCCGGACGTGAGGTAGGAAGGGAAGCCGGGGATGGTACCCAAGGTTTCGCTCTGCCCTGCCTGGGAATCGAACCCGGGTCCTCCGGCTTGCGAGGCGAGCGCTCGAACCACCCCAGGCTACAGGACCCGGCAATGACGGGTTGGAATGTTACCCCCCCCCCCTCCTCCTCCGGGGGTGAGGGGATGGAGACAGGTGTTGTCGGGGCTGTGAGCAGGCAGTGCTTCTGGGCAGACACGCTGAAAACTGACTGGGAGGTGGAAGGAAAGAGAAAATTGCTTCATTGACAGCTGTGGGCAGCAGCTGTACAATCTCTGACACAGCCCGTGGCACGGACTCAGGTTAGTAACTGTGAGGAAAAACTGAGTCTGGTCCCAGCGTCAGGGAATGAAAGGGTCAGTGTTTTGGGGAACGAGCCGGGCACGGTCTCTGGTGCCCTCTGTTGCTCACTCCCGGATTCACTGCTGGAGACAACACCTGCGAGAGAGAGAGAGAGATGGAGAGAGACAGAGAGGGAGACACACGGACAGAGAGAGCGAGAGAGAGAGAGAGAGAGAGAGAGAGAGATACAGAGAGGGAGACACACAGACAGAGAGAGCGAGAGAGAGAGAGAGAGATAGAGATACAGAGAGGGAGACACACGGACAGAGAGAGCGAGAGAGAGAGAGAGAGAGAGAGAGACAGAGAGGGAGACACACAGACAGAGAGAGCGAGAGAGAGAGACAGAGTGAGACAGAGAGGGAGACACACAGACAGACAGAGAGAGCGAGAGAGACAGAGCGAGACAGAGAGGGAGACACACAGACAGAGAGAGCGAGAGAGAGAGACAGAGCGAGACAGAGAGGGAGACACACAGACAGAGAGAGCGAGAGAGAGAGACAGAGCGAGACAGAGAGGGAGACACACAGACAGAGAGAGCGAGAGAGAGACAGAGTGAGACAGAGAGGGAGACACACAGACAGAGAGAGCGAGAGACAGAGACAGAGCGAGACAGAGAGGGAGACACACAGACAGAGAGAGCGAGTGAGAGACAGAGCGAGACAGAGAGGGAGACACACAGACAGAGAGAGCGAGAGAGAGAGATACAGAGAGGGAGACACACAGACAGAAAGAGCGAGAGAGAGAGAGACAGAGCGAGACAGAGAGGGAGACACACAGACAGAGAGAGCGAGAGAGAGAGTAAGAGAGAGGGAAAAAGAGAGGGAGACACACGGACAGAGAAAGAGAGACAGAGACACACATACACACACAGAGCCAGAGAGAGAGAGAGAGACACACACACAGAAAGGAGAGAGAGAGAGAGACGAGAGAGACAGAGAGGAGAGTCAGAGAAAGAGAAAACTCAGCGAGTGAGAGAGACTCAGAGCGAGAGAGAGAGAGAGAAAGAAAGAGAGAGAAAGACAGAGAGAGAAAGACAGAGAACCAGCACGAAAAAGGGGTGAGGGGAGGGCTCGGCATCAGCCTCCGCCACTGTTAAACGCTCCGAGACTCTGCCCCCCCCCCCGCAAGTTGCTGAAATTTAAGAGTGAATCCGGGAGATTATTTTAAAACAATAAAGGGTTCTGATAGGGGAGGCTACGGAGAAACTATTCCCTCCGATGGTATGGTGGTGGTGGTGATGGTGGTGGTGGTGGTGGTGGTGGTGGTGGGGGGGGAGCGGGGGGGGGGTCGCGGCGGGAATCGAGAACAAGGGGCATCATCCAAAAATCAAAGCCCGGCCATTTAGGAGCGAAATCGGAGGCGGTTTTTCACCCAAAGGGTTCGTGGAAATCTGGAACTCTTCCCCCCCCCACCCCCCCCCCCCCCAAATGCCTGTGGGCACTGAATCCATTCACATCGTCAAGACTGAGGTGGATTAGATGCCAGGGACACCGGGCAAAGGTGGGTAATCGGAGCTGAAGTACGGATTAGCCGTGATTTAATACGGTGACGGAACTGGCTCCAGGGGCTGAATGGCCTCCTCCTGTTCCTGTGTTTCTAGGGGAGGGCCTGCGGGTGTTAACGGACGCTCCCTCCCCTCACTCACTCACTCACTCACCTGCCGGAGCTCGTGAACCTCGGACTCGGACACGCTCTGGGCCGTGACTTGCTGGAGCTGCCCCTCTCCGCTCGCTGTCCCGGGGTGCATCACCTTGTCCAGGAACCCGCTGGCTGCAGTGGGACACAAAAAGGTTTGGGGGGAATGGGGGGCATTCCCTGCTTATCCTGAACTGTCCCTCGCTCGTCTCCAGCCCCCCCCCCACCCACCGCCCCTTCCCACCCCGGGCGCCCGATTGCGTCTCGAAGCGCTTCACAGGGTAATGTGGTGGTGGGGACTGTTTGTGGGCGGAGGGGGGTGTGGGGAAGGGAGACGTCGCATTCTCCGGGCGAAACGTTTCCGGGCCGAGCCGACCGCGCCCGGCGACGACGTTCCCCCCCAACTCCCCCCCCCACAGCGAACGCCCGTGGATCGAAGCCCACCCTCCCCCCAACCCCCCACCCCGACGTTACTTAAGAACCGTCGCCCGTCGCACCTGATTTCCAGAGGGAGCCGGAGCTCTCGGACACGGGGGAGTCTCCCGGCCGGAAGATTCCCAGCAGCTCGTCCCGGAAGAGGACCTTGCGGCAGTACTGGACCTCCATGACGGACAGCGCGGCGGACATGCGGGCCGAGGTCAGGTGGTAGGTCACGTCCGGGCGGCCGATGAAGCGTTGCCGCACGGTGACCTGGTAGGGGCTGCGGACCCTGACCTCGTCCACCTCCTCCCGGAGGTACCGGTGGACGGGCCGAGATTCCCAGTCCAGGATGTCCAGGCCGGAGCACAGCACGCACAGCGCTCCCTGCTGGAGGCCGGTGTCCGCGTCCCGGGAGTACAGCACCGGCACCTTGACGATGAGTCCGCCCTCGGCCGCGCCGCCTCCTCCATTCCCGCTTCCTCCATTCCCGCTTCCTCCGGCCCGCCTCCTCCGGCCCCGCCCGCCGCCCGCGATCTGCTCCCGAACGGCCACCAGGGCGGCGACTCGAGCTGCGTCAAAAGCCTGACCACGACAACAACTCATTACATTCACGTTCGATCAGTCATCTTAATCATTGGATGTCTCGAAGCGCTTCACACGATACACTAATCATTGGATGTCTCGAAGCGCTTCGCACGACACAC